TCACTTTTAGCCCCCGTCATAAACTATTTATATTTGATAGCCGAAAAAATGCATAAAATTTGTTTAATTTTTGTATATAACATATAGAATATATAATATAATACATAAGTTGCACCTTGAACTTGTCCCCAAAAGTCCGTTTTCCATTCAACCTTTAGTGGTGTTCCTTTTCTAAACTATATTTGTCCGAAATGAATTTAATACCTCCCTGAGACTTATACAACCAGTCTCATGGTGGAAGGTGTTGCACACTCTCCTTATGTCTTGGCCACGTATTATCCCAACAGATTCAAGTTGATTTTACCTTTTCCTTTTTGACTTTGTTTTTTAATTCTTACTCCTTTTTCTTATTTTTCTTTTTTAAATTTTCATCTCCTTCCTTATATTTGTTTTGAAAATCTCTTCTCTCAGACACCCTTCGTACAGTGCAATCCTTCACCCCAATTACAAAATTTAGATTTAGATAAATTAGTTTTCAAGTTAATTGAGATTTTTTGCATTGTAATACCAATAGAAAAGGGTTTGAGAAGTGAGGTATGTCTGTGGTTGGAGGTTGACAGGAGAAAATGGAAGCTCGACGACATCAGAAGAAATTTTTCGGCTAACATCTAGTAGGATTTTATAGTTTAATTGAGTTTTTCTATGTTGATGCATTTTCATGGGCTTTCAATAGTCAAAGGTGAGAATACAACTGATGATTTTTACAACCTTTGATAAATTTTGCATCTTAATTTTCTGCCGGGAAGAGGAAGGGGGATAGGCAGCAATGGAAAGAAAATTCGCTCTTAAAAAGGAGTAGAGTAAAAATGGAGAAGAAAGAAATAGCATTGAGATGAAGAAGAAAGAGGGGTTTGTGGGAGGGGGTTGAAGATGAAGAGAAAAGGGGGTGGGGGAGGGGAAGTCCAAGAATATAGTTTTTTTTTGTTGCCAAAACAGTCATTTTTTGCTTTAAATTTTGATAATACCCGCCTTCACTTTAATTTTTTTTTTAAATTTTTTGCCACATCAGCTTTTAGGGTGTACTAAATTCATTTCGAACAAGTATAGGATGGAAAAGGAACACCCGTAAAAGTTGAATGAGAAACTGACTTTTGGGGACAAGTTGAGGGAGCATCTTATATATATATACACACACACACATATACAAAAATATAAAGAAATATATTTTTTTGGCTATTATTTGAAAGCGACTATATATATATATATATACAAAAATATACAAAAAAATATATTTTTTGGCTATTATTTTAAAAGTGACTATATAATGTCATTTTCCCTTTAATTAATTGATTAAGGATGATGGAGAATGCATGATACAGACTGATGTTGATGAAGAGTTTACTTTGCCAACAAGGGTGGCTAATTAATAAAGACACGTCCATTGCAATTATAGATTTGACACCCTAGTATTATAGGAGCAGGGGCCGTTTTGTTTATGGGATTAATTAGTGGGATATTATGGGAGAAATTCAAAAATAGCTAGATTTACAAGTGGTCATTCAAAAATAGTCATACTTTTAAAAGTAATCGAAATTTAGTCACTTTTCATGTAAAGATAAATCTGAACGAAAATACTATTCACAATCCAGAAAAATACTCCAATATAATATGCTGGAATTCCAGTATAATATACTGGAACTCCAGTATAATATACTGAAACTCCAGTATAATATATTGAAACTCCAGTATAATATATTGAAACTCCAGTATAATATGCTGGAGTTTCAGTATAATATACTGGAATTTTCCGCATGTTGGAGTTCCAGCATAATATACTGAAAGTTCATACAAAGGTGCACCGATCTCCAGTATATTATGCTGGAACTTTCTGTGTTGCAGCAAAATAGTGACTATTTTTCAATGACTTTGCAAACGCTGGCTATTTTTGAATGACCAGTCCAAAAACTGGCTAGCCCGTGCTATTTTTACGATATTCTGATTTAGAATTTGAGATTAATTTTAACCCGTATTTAGTTGAAAGTATTAGCTAAATCAGGACAAATTTTATATCTTAATCTTGGTATTACTTATCCCATCTAGAAAAATAATCCCAAAATAATAATTCTGAAATTATATTGTTAATCCTTGAATAGCTCTCCTTAGAACCAGACGACCCATACTACTATTATCCAACTGAGAAGACTTCAATTGAATACTAATAATGGGTGGGACCCAACCTCACCTGACCCATGCATGGTAAAAACAAGGATTAAGAAAATTAATATTTTTGCATAGGTGCTAATATAGGAGGGATATTACAGATATGAAGGCTGCAAAACTGATTTTTGTGAAACAAAGTGAAGATGAACTAAGTGGACTTTTTGCAGATATGTTCCCTTTATTAAATTGCATCAAAAAAAGCTCTTTCTTCTCTTTATCTTTTCAAGACGTTTGCTTTACTTGTTGTGACTTGTGAAGAATCGACTAGATTTTAACCTAAACTATTCGAATGGCTAGCTGCTAATCATATATCTATCAAGCATACTCTAGTTAGCATTAACAAAGAACATATTAATTAAAGCTATCGCGTATATATATATATGAACTTTTTCGTTTCCATTTTAAGCAACATTCATAAACAAGTTCTATTATTTTAAGCAATCTTAGGAATGCATCATTTTCCAACACTGAATAGTATCAACCACATTATCTAAAATGACTACGACAAAGTGGTTCGAAATCAATACTCCAAATACTTACTCCCTCTGTTCCAGTTTATGTGAACCTATTTCCTTTTTGGTCCGTTCCAAAAAGAATGAACCCTTTCTAAATTTGGTAACAATTTAGCTTAAAGTTACAACTCTACCCTTAATGAAAAGTTTTTATAACCACACAAATACTCTAGGCCTTATTTGGACTTGTTTAGGACCACAAATTCCAAAAGTCTTCATTTTTTTCTTAAACTCTGTGCCCAGTCAAACAGGTTCACATAAATTGGAACGGAGGGAGTAAAACATATTGTTTGACTCAAAAGATATTAAAACCTTTTTGAACAAATCAATCAAAGATGAAGGGGTAAATATTAGCCAAACATAATTAATTTCAGATTGAAAAGTTAACAATAATGGTTACATATGAGACGAAAAAGGCATGATTGATCTTATTTAAATTCAACATCGTCTTTCTCATCAATTGATGAGGAAGTAAATTTACATATATTCCTCGAGGTTAATTCCTCGTTTTTTTGAAGATATAAGGAATGAGCTTTTTGTCATCCTTTTCTTTGAGAGAATGGAGAAGCCCCCTGAACTGAGAGCTTTCTTTGGCTATATATAGTCGAAGCCCTTTTACCTTTTGCTTGACGCTTTCTTGTCGCTAATGTGCCCTGGTCGTGATTTTAGGCGTTACTTTTTTCGATTCGTCGAATGATACAAAGAAGAAATGGAGTGGGCTCTACTGACTTTCACTGCCCAATTATTGAGGCGGGGTGTCGGGCAACCTGATCATAGTGGTCATATTTTGACCAATACACATATATTTATCTCATTTAAGGGACAGCAGACACAGTGTCATCTTATCACCCAGTTGTGCGAAGGAAAGTGGTTTGCTAGTGGCTTCAAGAAGATTATATGGAAATTGGAAAGAGCAAGTTAAATCGAATATATAATATAAAGCTTTGTTACTTTGTTGAGTAATAGTTTAATATAGATATAATATTGTAGCCATTAATTTAAGGAGCATGGGGCTTAAAAGTGTAGCCAAAAAGGATGTATCCCCAATTTGGATGTGTCACTTTCCACTTAAAAGGCCTATTGAGGGCTTCCTTCTTTTCTATATGAATCTGAAAGGTCTATTAATCTTTTCTATCATCTGTCTATCTTCTTCTTAAAGAACTTCATGCAATCCTAGGTTTGTTCTCCCCCACACCCCACATGAGCATGGTTCAAGACCTAATTAAGCAAGACTATTCCTCTTTACTTAAGGAAAAACGATTTCTAATTTTTTTTTATTGTTAACTAAAAAGCGGATAAAAACAAAAGAACCATGCTGAGTTAATATATAACCAAGATTAAAGTTAACCTAACCAAGATTCAAAATTCGAAGTTTATAGGTTCGTACGACGGTCTTAAATTAATATATAATAATAACTCGGTTCACATTCAAAGGTTTTCATATATTTATTTAGTGAATTTCTTAATACAACATATAAGGTTTGAATAAAATCTACTGAGTTCATGTACCTCCGCTCCTACTTGTATTGACACATGTTGGCTTGCTGTAATTTTTATAAATTTTAAAATGAGATGAACTTAAATTAGCGAAATGACTGGTACGTAGTATATAGTCGATCAAAATTGAAGCGTAATAATAGTTGAAACACTGTTGGTTTAATGGTTACTACAAATTGTTAGTAGTACTTTAGTCAATTATCGAAGATAACTTGAGAAAATAAACTGCCTGACTTGTGTCCAGAAACATGCGGAGTAATCATGTTTTAATTTTGCATTGTAAGGAATAAAATAGAAGCGTACAAAATACCATTGTTCGGCAATAGAAGTAGGGCTTTCAACAATTAACGTGATACTTGAGGATAAAAAAAAATATGAATGATAACCTAGTAGAAAAAAAACAATAATGTGACATGAATATATTTGTAATAAAAAATAATATATATTATCAATATTCCATAAGTTATCTCGGCACAGCTGGTTTTGCCGTTTTGCAGTTGGTAAGTGCTTTTTTAATTTTGTTTCTCCATAAAATATCAAATCAAAACACGATTACTGTTAAAAAATCTTCTTGAACAACAGCTATCTAAAAACAAATTATACGTCACTATCTATTTCCCGAAAAACTTAGTATTAATTTCAAAAGTTTTTTTCTCTTTTCAAAAAATTCAAATGAATAATAATACTGAATACCAAATAATTATAGAAAAAGGGAATTTATCAATTTTTGTCTCCTTTTTCTAGCACAACCTCTTTGGCCTTTTACGAGTCATAACAATTAACAGAAGCCTTTCCGTAGAATCACTGTTTGTCTGCTCTTCCCTGAATATCCCAATGAGAACTTCTCTAATTTCTTGTCTGTAAAGTTTGAGTAATTTCTTTTCTCTTACAATAAACAATATATTCGCATTTGTCATTATTAAACTATTCACTCACCTAATTACTACTACTAGTAATTTGCTCCAATACTTGTATTTGTTTGTTGGTTATTTATGCTTACTCATCTCTCACTTTCTTCACGCCAATCATCCCTTCCACCTAAAGAGTTTCCTTTCGTGAGAATTACTTCCCTTTCTTTTCTCGTCGTACTTTGTTTCTTTGACTAATGTAAACAGCGTACATTACTTGTCCCTTCATTATTGAACTGTGTTCGTGGAAAGGTCTGCTCTTTATAATGTAAGAGTGAACAAGCTGCTTTCTTTGCTAAATTGATGCTCATTTTCTTTCAATTGTCCTGAATCCATTCCCTTTCCACTTTTTCTCGTTATGGGTCCTCGCTAATTCTCGTATTCTTTGATTTTACTTTTTTCCTTGTTATGCCCATTTGGTTGAACTTGTTTTAATACACTCAGAATCAATTGTTAAGAAATGGGTTCTCGCTAAATCCTTGGTTTTTTGGTTACTAGTACCTTACTCTTTTGCTCAGATATATATATAACCTTTTACAGTCAAAAAAGTTCTGACTATGTAACTGTAATTAGGCCATGGCCAGATTTTGTTCTTTTAATTAGTAAATGACGAGAAAGAGTGTGTATATTTGTGATAAGATTGTTTAGACTATGGATATAAATTTTGTTAGTAAGAAATCTCGGAAGATGGAGAATTTCTGTTTCTTTCGTTAGTCTTGATTCTGTATGAGTTATGACTTCAACCCGTTAGTCTAATTTGCTTTTGGTCCTATTGAATTCAAGTTGGTGAAATCTTTTGGAAAGTTAAGCTCATACTTACCTGAAATACATTATTGATTGCTAAATGATTCTTTTGTACTTCTAATCCCAAGACATTCTTTGTAAATATGTAAACTTCATTAACTAGCATCCTATTCCATGTGCCTCATTGAAGGTAAAGTATACAGTCAACATATACACATGAATCAACTCATTTTTCCTTTTCCCCCTAAATAATCTAGTCATGATCAAGTAAGTGTTGTTTTCTGCCCAAAAGATTATGCTTATTTTCACCATGCTAATCTAGTTTAACTGGTATTAGCCTCTCGAGTCCCTTCGGTTCTGTTCTAGTTTCTCTTCTTTAAGTTACTTGTCTGTAAAAAGGGAAACAGAACAAAGCTTTTCCCTTCATTATCCAACATTTTGAGTGGTAATGGAAGAAACCTTTGTTCCGTTCCGTGGAATTAAGAATGATCTCAAAGGAAGACTGTTATGCTACAAGCAAGACTGGACTGGTGGTCTCTGTGCAGGTATCAGGTTCGTTAATTTTACTTAAGCTGAAGTGAAACTGAACAGTAAATGATTTTGTATATTGGCTGGGCCTAGACTTCTTTGAGGAGATTTGAGTATTATTCTTATTATCTTCGGCGTTCTGTCTGTTTAAAAGCAACACTCTAATGAGCAACTTTAATTGACTTGATTGCATTTTAATTTTCAATGATGTGTATGAATTGTCTTATATGTTGAGGATCCTGGCTCCAACGACCTACATCTTTTTCGCATCAGCAATTCCTGTTATTTCTTTTGGTGAGCAACTAGAAAGAAGCACTGGTAAGACAGATTTTGACATTTCCTAGATTTCAGTCGATTCTTATCGGATGGTCTATTCACTGATAAGCTGTATCTGTTTTATATTATGCTAGATGGAAGTATAACTGCAGTGCAGACTCTTGCTTCAACTGCACTTTGTGGTGTGATCCATTCCATTTTTGGTGGACAGCCACTCCTTATACTAGGAGTAGCTGAGCCAACTGTACTTATGTACACTTTTATGTTCAACTTTGCAAAGGATCGAAAGGACTTGGGACCGAAGCTGTTTCTAGCCTGGACAGCATGGTAGCTTCTTGCCGCTCTTGAATCACTATCTAGCAGCGCTGTCAAGCTTTCTTACTTGGTTATGTGCAGGGTGTGTGTTTGGACTGCTTTTCTGCTCATCTTGCTGGCAATTTTGGGTGCATGCTCTATAATAAACAGATTTACACGTCTTGCTGGTGAATTATTTGGTCTACTAATTGCTATGCTCTTTATGCAACAGGCTATTAAGGTAAGGAAGTCTTGATCCTAGTCTCTCAATTTTCTAAGCAGTCAACCCAAATTAATTTTGGATGTCTTCCAGCAGTGCAGCTTGCATTTTCTTTCTTGAATTCTTTTAAGAGATCAGCAATACTATGAGAAAAGCAGAATTCAGTTATGCTTTCATTGAAGCTTTATCACTTGAAGGCCTTAGCAATTTCCTCAAGAATTACAGTTGTGTGACTTTTCATGTACTGGTTTTGGTATATTGCAATTTTGATGACCAATTCCTTTTTCCCTCATCATTGCAAATTGCGATCCATTTCTTCAGTTTCACTGTTGGCTGGTCTATTCCAGAAACAGTGCTCAGTTTCACTGTTGGCTGGTCTATTCCAGAAACAGTGCTTTCACAAATTCCTACTAATGCATAGATTTATGGTCTAATTCTTTAAATAGTTAGATTTATGGTCTAATTCTTTAAATAGTATTATTGGTTTTTTAATTTTTCAGTACTAATGAATGCAACCACAGGGACTAGTAGAGGAGTTTGGCATACCAGAAAGAGAAAACCCTCATCAGGTTGTGTTCCTACCTTCTTGGCGCTTCGCAAATGGGATGTTTGCATTAGTTCTATCCTTTGGCCTTCTGTTCACTGCATTGAGGAGCCGTAAAGCTAGATCCTGGCGCTATGGGACAGGTATACAATTTTCAGTTTAAGTACATGAACATTAAAGACAACATAAAAGAACACAATTATTGCTTTTCTCCACTTTATTCTTAAACTTAATATATGTGTAGTAAGGTGAATTTGTCGTGTTCATCAATTTAGTTGTATAGGGTAAAAAATGTTTATATTAAATGATCGCATGAGGAAATGACGCGTGAAGCCGAAGACAGAAGATAGTTGAATCCGAAGGCAACGATGCTGTCTGTTACCAGAGAGAATGATACTCATAAAGATGAAGTAAATGCTTGCCACCCGATAGCATTTAATGAGGAATATTCTACAACATTAAGTACACGACCCGTTACAAGGAATATGGCATTCACTGCCCGCCGTTACACATTCTTGAATGGCCCTCATAATTGACATTAAAGAGGGATTTGATCCTAGGACCTTGTTACCTAGGTGTAGCTATAAATACTGAGCTCTATTATGATTGTAGAGGGGACAAATTTTCTGAAAAACATATGCTACACTCTGTTGAAAGCTTAATATAATTTTATCTTTTTGTTTGCTGATATCGTTGCTATTGTCCCCGGAAGCCCTATTCCTGGAATTGCTATTTTTGCTATTTTATCTCCATTTCAAGCTAAATATTACACTTTTGTCTAATTCATTTATTATCTTAGGATCAAATTAATTCACTTGTCTATAAACCACGTATAAATTCAACTGTACCGTTTTACGGGTAAATATTAGTAATGATCAATTGCTTTGGAACTAGAAAGGCAATTGTTGCCTTGTGTGAAATTGCTGACACTTCATTTTTGCTAAGGCTGGCTTCGAGGATTTATCGCTGACTATGGTGTCCCACTAATGGTGCTTGTTTGGACGGGCGTATCGTATATACCAGCCAATGATGTTCCACAAGGGGTTCCACGACGCCTTTTCAGCCCTAATCCATGGTCGCCTGGTGCTTACTCGAATTGGACAGTTATAAAGGTGCTTTTTTTCCAGTGTTGATGAATCCAAGGATTAGGAATTTAAAACCAGACATGCTTCTTTCTGTATAGTCTTGATAACTCATACTCAAGTGTTGCTTTACACAGGAAATGCTGCACGTTCCTCCACTGTATATTTTTGGAGCTTTTATTCCAGCCACAATGATTGCTGTTCTGTACTACTTTGATCACAGTGTTGCATCTCAACTTGCACAACAAAAAGAGTTCAATCTAAAGAAACCTTCCTCGTATCATTATGATCTCCTTCTTTTGGGCTTCTTGGTATGCTGGTGGCTCTGGCCTTTTCTTTTAGACATCATTTGGGTTTTCAATTTTTTTTTAGCTATTATTGATTAGTTGATGCAGCTTTTTCACCCCTCACATTGGTGCTTGTACATTCACTAGGTTATACTATGTGGTCTTATTGGCATTCCTCCTTCCAATGGAGTCATTCCACAATCTCCAATGCATACGAAAAGCTTGGCCACATTGAAACATCAGGTACCAAAATTCTCTCTTAATAGACGACTCTAGTCCATTGGGGTTACTGAACTTGAAGAGAATCATATGTACACTGCTACTTTTTGTTGAATAGTACACAAGAGTTGAGCATAAGGAAGTAGGAATCATCTACACAAGACCTCACTATGGACCAAGAAAGAATGTAACTTCATAAATATTTGTTGTCTCATGCTTTCTGTTTTCCCCCCCAACAATGCTCACGAAATAATGTTGCTGTTTCTAGTCTAATCGACAATTTAGGATGCTTGATTGTTCTTTCAGAGATTATAATTCTTCTCATTAATATTTCAATACTTTTCTCTCTATGGAAACAGCTTTTACGGAATAAACTTGTATCAACAGCAAGAAAAAGCATGAGTAAAAATGCAAATCTTGGCCAATTGTACAGGAGCATGCAGGAGGCTTACAATGAGATGCAGACTCCCCTTGTCTATCAAACTCCATCGGGACTGGTAAATTGTTGATGTAATTGCTGAATGAGGATATCGAAGTAATTAACATGCTTAACTTAGTAATACTTCCGTCAAACAGGGGCTCAAAGAGCTAAAGGAGTCAACAATTCAGCA